AGTGATGGATTAGGCTTAGAACCTCAACCGAGGCCAATTTCCTGTTGATTTTTCATCACTTCTATCCCATAAAGATCTGTGGAATGTAGTCCTGAGTAAATTTTCCTGGAACTGAGAAAATAGTTCAGTGAAAAACTGAAAAAAATTATTATCATACCCCTGATAATAAATTTGAAAGCACTGTGCTAGAATATTACAATGTTCGGGCCCTATTATTAAAAAAATATCAGAAGCTAAATATCCTGACTTATATTAAAGCAATAAATAAAATCGCTCAGATTTTCAGCGATTATATTATAATTGTGACTAGTATAACGAAATAATGTACTGCGGATGTCGTGTTCATTTGGACCTTGATTTAAACTGTATAATATTCAGGATTCACTTTAGCCTAGCTTGATTGTATTTAGACATACATTAAAATAAATATATTGGATGCAAAAAAGGCAACGTTTTAAGTTCGTTCGAAAATCTCGCTCTAAAATAAACAGACTTCTCCGGGAGTTTTTTTGACACTTGAGTTGAAGTATAGGAACAAAACAAATTCTGCCATGTAAGCCATTGACTAAACAAGAATTGTTATTAAAAAATTTTTTAATGCAATCTTTACGCCATGGTATGAATTGAATTTCGTAAAAACAAATAGATTGATTTCTCCTATTAAAAGAAAGATAAACTTATGCGTAGGACCAAATAAAGACGCAAATGAAATATAAGAAACAAGTATTTATAAGCTTTACAAGATGTTTGTCCGTAACACTGGCATGCTCTAATGGAAGTAGACATTAACCAAACGAAATAGAATGAAAACAATTCATATATCTGATTTACTGATAGTCTCGAAAATTTACTCACTCACGAAAAATGTCATCGTGGATTTCTATAGTAAATATAAGTTTGCTTAATCGACAATCCCAACATAGAATATGATATGGAATATGCCTGTTATTCCTCGAAATTTACATCGGCTGTGACTTAATTGCACTCGTGGCAATGTGGCGTGGCGGTTAACGTGTCGAGTTTACACGTGGCACTGTCATGGTGAAATTCCCGCTTGAAGTGTTTATAAGACCTATGCGAGGTCGAAACTGCAGTCCACCCTGGATGAGAACACCCTTTGGGAAAGCAAAGTTGTATGAAATTTATGGAAACGTCAGCTCTACTCATATCATTGTTAGAAAAATCAACTACCAGTCCTTCATCACCTTAAACTAAATAGGGTGAGGACAACTCATATAAACCAATTAAGGTAGAATGAAACTTAAGTAGATTATATATATATATGTGTGTGTATGTGTGTGCAGGTTAATGCATGTGATTATAATATGAAGCAAAAACACACCTGTAACCATAAGTCTGGGTATTTGGTAGTGAATTTCCAGCATGTGGAAGGACTGTGTCCTGGGTAAAGACAATTAGGACGCTTGCAGTCACAGGCAAAGTGAAGACATAGGTGCACCCTCCTTCGACGGCCCTTGGCCTCTTGCCTGCCTATTGTAAGCGTCTGCGAGGTCTGTTTAGATATATTATGTGACACCATATCAAGGCTAGTTGTTGATAGAGTCAGACAATGGCAAGAACCTTCTCCCATTACTAGGCAAGCATCCACTGGAAGTGGTAGCCAATTGGCAAGAAGTGTAATGTACTTAACTAGCTTGCTGAAGTAGCGCTCATGAAATCGCCGTACAGGGTCCTGCTGGTATTGCTGTTGCTGTTCGTGCGTCAGATCTGGGGCTGAATTACTGTGCTCTATTCGACCCAATTCTTGTAGTGTCCTGTCAGAAAAGTCGGTTGTTAGGTACGGTTCGATATTAGTAACAGCAGTGTTCGCCAAGTTATCAAAATGAATAGGAAATGATTCTTCTCTATCGGCAGCCTTCGATGCATGAATCTGACCGCTTGTTACGCCTAAAGCATGGTGACCAGTGTTATCAGCATTTGTGCATTTTGTCCACACCATAGGATAAACTTGGCTTACTTCGTTATGTACTGGGGCATTTAAAGCTGTTTTCCTTGAGTCCGGAGAAACTAATCTCTGTGATGCTGGTGACTGAGACTCACGTTGGGTACATCGTAATAGAGAGTTGATTGGAGAAGCTATGGGCCGCAATATGAACTCTTCGCTTGTTTTTTCATGTAAACATTCGTTCTGACGTGATTTTGTATCAGTATGGAGGTCCACATCTTCTGCCATCGAGTCTCTCATGGTGGGCTGAAAATTAGATGGTTTGTTCAGCCTACATAAATTTGGTATGGGTATTTGATTGTTTGTCGAGACAAAGCCTTCATTAGCGGATTTTAGCATGAAGGGGGACCAAGAATATGTAGACGGAGAGCTTGTGAACGATGAAGTTCGCAAACGAGGGCCAACAGAATGTATCTGAACAGGCTTTGAGTCGAGCTCGTCATACTCTAAGGAACTGGACAAGCTATAGTCATGCATGAAGTTTCCCATTGTCTGCAGATCATTTGCAGTTGCTTGCCAATCGTCGTAATGGTCTTGGCCATCCAAACTGAGCATACTGACTGCTAAGCAAGGCCTTTCAGAAAGCCTAGATGCTCGATCACGAAGAGAACTGTTTATTTCCCGGTGCGGAGAGGGTGCTAGATTGCAATAGGTCTGTTGAGCATTCGAGAATTCCAGAGGAATTCCCATTTTTCCTGCCTTCAGTCTATCTCGGTGTTTCAAAAATGGCTGTAATAAATATGTATTGGGTGGTACCATCTGGTGCCTAAAGTCATTCGCACAGGCCATAGGTTCTTTATTCGCCTCCATTCCTTTGACACATTTTGCGAGACTTTTAGCACGCACCAGTGCCCAAGACTCTCCATTACTACCAAAAACATCGGGTGCCATCCTCCGAGTTGCGTGTTCTTTTGGACACTCGGCCAAACGTTTACTTAGAGGTGACATAAGTGATCCCATCTGCCTAGTTGATGTCAGCATGCTAGAGCGCCTTCTCTGAGCCGCTGCACTCGGAAGTCCTTCATTCAT